CGTCAAAGATGGGCCATGGTGTCAGGAGATCGAGTGAGCTATGCTGCTCCACGTCTCATCGCCCAATCAGCGCGCTAACAGCTCTTTGTCTAGCTTTCTCCCCCTTGCGCAGACCTTCCTGACCAAGGCGCTTCTGCGAGTGCTCCAAACGGCGATCCCTCGCGCACTAGACAGACCGTCTCAGTCGACTGTTCAGCTCATCGCCCAGTCGTCTCACGGGGATCTGAGATCCGCTATCAACTCATTGCAGCTACTGTGTGCTCAGCGATCGGGCAATACCAGAAAGAGAAAGAACAGAGATGGCGACGACGACGACGATAATGCCGATGATGGTGAACCCAGCAAAAAGAAGGGTCAGCGCAAATCAGCGGCTGGTAAAGGTAGTCGTGGTGGAAAGGGGGCCAAGCTGGATGTCAGTAGAGAGCTGAGGGCAGTGTGAGTAGACAAGCGTGTGCACGCGATTGGTTGGCTGATGCACGTGTCCTTCTCATGCAGGCTCGACGCTGTGACAAGGAAAGAGCAGTCTTTGGGTCTATTCCACGCGTTGGGCAAGGTCTTTTATAACAAGCGTAAGTGCTAGGTTTGTATCGCCTGGCAGGTGTATGATTGATGACAGTGGCTGTTGCGTAGGTCTGGATGATCCGAATATCGATGAAGAGGGCGAGGAAATTTTGGAAGCCATACGTCGGCTGCCGCCCAATGAGCCTTTGCCAAGGCATCTTCAGCAATTTGCAAGAAGCAAGTCTCTGACGCAAATGGAGGTGAGTGCCGTGGCATTCTTCGTCAAGAGGTGCGCTTATAGTGTTTTGGCTTTGACGGCCCCTCTTGATACACAGACATTCATCCCCTCGGTGCCCGTCGATGCATCCACCTTCGCCCTTTGGATCCATCAATCGTTCCCCGAATTCTGCGAAGATATAGAACAAGTATCCGCGGGGATCGACGAGCTTTGCTCGGCGGACATTATGAGAACGGATGATGATATTGTACGTCTGTCGCTGTTCGGACTTGGCCCGTAAGCTGACCACCCCGGCAAGTAGTGGCAATCTAGTACACAGGCCATCGCCTATGCTCTGCACATGTCCATAAGAGGAATACAAATGGCTCTTCCTAGTCCCGTACCACGGTGAGCTTGGAAAGGACATTGTGCAAGTGTGCGATGAAAGCTAAGCTCATTGCGTGATTCCCCTCAGGCGCTCGCAGAAAGTGATCAAGCCGCAATTCTTCGAATCGTACCGTCAGGAGCGCGAAAACCTCTCTTCGCTCGACAATGTGGCTGGGTACATCGCCAAGAGAGGAGTGCTGTCTAGTAATGCATACGCTGATGGAGAGAAAGGCCTGTTCGAAGATACTGGTGTCTGGGGTGGAATGCTCCCTAAAAGAGTTGTGGCGGCAGAGATGGTGCCGATGATGCTGAAGATCGGATCGACAAGCAGAAGTGGGTGTTCACACTTTCGCTCCTAGTCAAAGTAGAAAGCCTACTGTTGCTGATACTTGTTGCTCTTTCAGAACCGCTCCTCCCATCTTCTGCCCAGTCGCTCGTCCTCCCCTCATATACCTCGATGACCACCAGAACTAGAGAGGACGAGTTGACTGCCAAAAACGAGCCAGACCAAGAAGAGAACGATGCCACTTACCATGTCGATGATGATCAACCATCACATGCACAAGCATGGGCCGACGACCTCGATGATCAGCCAGGTGATGGTCAGGGGGAAGCAGATGCACTTTTGGAAGATGACGATATCATGGATTGGGATTAAGCAGGGTATGTCTCATCATACGGATTCGTGCATGTTCATGTGTATATGTCTTCCCATGCGAATATATCCGCTCTTGTTGTATGTTCCTTCTCCCGTTCAATACGGTTCATGTAACCAGATCTTCGCGACAATGCATGACGATTCGATGATGACGAGGCCGGTGTCGATGCGGAAGGTGATACGGTTGATCATGGTCGACTTGGAAGTGAGGTGGCGTGTCAATTCGATCGACTCGCTTCGTCCGCCTTGGCCGATTCCTCCGCCCTCGCCGCTTGCTCCGCCTTGGCCGCTGCCTCGGCCTTCCTCCTCTTCGACTCCTGTAACATCCGCAGGCATCAGTGAGAGATTTCGCAGTAACTCATGGTATATACATATGCTATTCGAACTCACCAGGGCCATGCCAATCGCCGTCGGCGTGGAGTACGCGTCGTCCGGGAGGCCTTCCGAGTAGGGGTTCCAATCCGCGAACTGACGGCTGTCGAGGGGCACTTCCGGCTCGATAGCGGGAGGCCAGAGCGCGTCTGTCCGCTTATGGTGTCAGCTGGTCCCCACGACACGTTCCAAGTTGCTTTCAGTCACTGACATGGGTATACCCATGTACCCATACGCCCGTATCCTCTAGGAGCGCCTGAGTCATTTTCCTCTTTCCTTTTCTTCTCACGTTCGGTCGGTTGCTCCTTCTCTTCGGAAGTCCTTTTTCGTGATTTTTCGCCTTCTGTTGCCTTCCCCTCGTGCACTTGATGGACATTGGCGACCATAGAGTCACCTTCGACCTTGGCAGTCTCGCGAGCTACCGTCTCTTCCTGCCGTTTCTCCTTGTCTTGCTGATCCTCATCAATCTGAATAGTCTCGGAGTGAACATCGTAGTAGTTTGTGGTCACGAGATCATGTATGTGAGCGGGCTGAGTGGTGTCGGACATGATGGACTGGTTTGCTATCCTTTGATGGTAGGTTGAATTTGAGGGTTGGTTGTGTTGCTGGGGTATTCTGAAGGCTCGAGGAGAGGGGACGTCGCGACAGCAGGTCTGGTTGATTCTTCTAATTCTGTTAGTATGAGAAAGGACAAGAACAAGAAGAAAGTAGAGGCAAACTACGGGGTAAAAAATGATACGCTGGCCTTATATACAGCCGGTCTACCGAGGGGGGGGGGGGGAATTGAGTTTGACCAAGGCAGAATAGGTCACTTCAACGATGACGACCATCACGTTTGATGGTCACAAGTAGAGTGATGATGACTCTCTTGTCACACCATCAGCACAAATCGTAGTTCCCGAGTGAGACATCCTTTCGGCTCGTCAATGCCCTTTTCTCACTACTGTCTAATGCGAGCAGCTGTCTCCGGAATGGGCACAATAGCGTTGATACGCTACGGGGAATCATGGAGCTGGTTTCTTTCTTCTTGACTGGCTGCCAGTCAGTCGCAAGGACCAGGATCGAGGGCGAAGTACCGACAACGACATGGTCGGCCGCCACTTCGATTCAGGCCAATCATGTTCAGCTGAGGATGGGATTCTGCGTGGAGTCCTTTGGGATCCTGTTTCATTCACCCACGTCGCACCGCTGATCCTTTCCTGGAACTCCCTTTGACATTTTACCAAAGGACCCAGAGGAACCTTATTTGTCCACGAGTGATGCAGGATTGAAGGGCAGTGTGGCACCCCAGAATCAAACAATGATCCTCGTGTCTCCTGCTACGAGTCCAGCAGAAGACAAGCAATACCACTTTCCGAACGATAGAAAACCCAAGATGCATATGAATTGTCCGTGAGGATTATATAAGAGAGATACCCAAGACCCAAAATGAAGCAGAATGTAGTGAGGCACGGGGAGGGAAATGAGCAGAAGAGGGCTACGAGTGGAAGATAACTCCATCCGAACTTGTCGCGTTGCGCTGTCGTCGACTCCTTGTTTCATCGTGCTTAGACCGCTACACACTCGCCATCAACCAGCGAGAAGCCGTCTTGGCACGCGAAGCTTTCGCATCGACCAGCAGTGCAAGTGACAGCACCAAAGGCGATGCCAGGAATCGCGGTACAGCTGTGAGGAACCCATCAGCTCTTGTCGATATCCAATTCACAAAAGAAGCTTACTCTGTACCGGAGGTGAAGTTGCCCATGCCGAACAATCCGTTGATACAGCCACCACATGATTCGATCTCAGCGTTCGTATCGATGCACTGCAGTCATCGTCAGTAAAGTCTCGTGATCATCGTTATGACATGCTCCAAGCTCACCTCGAAAGAATCGGAGTAGCCAGCAACCACACAAGCAGTGAGACCGGCAGGGCAATCAGCGGCCTGTCGACTGCTCTCGCTTAATCTCTCTCGGAGTTTTCGACGGGTAAGCTGAGAAGCCTGCGCGATAGGGTCGTGATAATAGCTGTTATGCATGGAGGTCAGCCCAGAAGATCTTTCGTAAGGCCGGAGTGTCTGGACCAGATACGTACACGAGGTAGTTGTTCAGACCGCAAGCAGTATATGATGGGCTACCGATCGATGAGCCACACGCGCATTGCCAATTACTGTCGATCGGTCTCGCAAAACAGGCATGGGGGTCATTCTCTAGGATCATCCGTGAGAGCGATTTGGCTCAAGGTTGGTTGGCTGGTTGGCTTTCCTGTTCGCGAGTTGCTATTTCACGCATCACGAACGTACGGCCTGACAGGGCCGTTAGGACCTGTCTCCTTCCCATGAGGAAAGTATCCGACGCACGGATTGCCGGTCCTTCGATCTCATCTCAGCTTTCAATCACACTTCATCCGAATTGAGGATGTTCATTTCGCCTCGTGGCGATGGTCCAAAGGCGAGGAGATCGCTCATCGCCAACCCTCCTGCTTGTTTCGACATGCCTCCGAAGCGGGACTCGGCCGTATCGTACCCTGGTCCTTGTCGCCAAGGGTATGATTGTCATCTGTCCACTCTTACCTGAATTTCTCCCTTAAAACAGCTCGCTAGAGAAAATATATGCTCGTCTTCCTCGAGAACGCCCGAAAAAAATCCTCGAGGCGCGCCGCCTAAAAAGAGGTGTAATCGGCGACCGCCGCTCCAAAATTCAGGGTCTCAGGGAAAATCGATGGGGCGCGCGCGCAAAATCCTGGGTGTGGCGTCGTTCGGACGGGTGAAAGTGGCTGAGTCCCTTGTTTCTCAGGCTTAAACCGGTCTATCTCGCTCATTTTAGAAGCTACAGAGCTCATTTTGAAATCCTTCCTATCAAACCAAGCATGCCGGATACCATCGCCGTTGGTTTGGCCGAGTGGTTATGGCGCTGTGTTCAGGGGACTCCCTTGCAACCGCAGTGTGAAAACGCGTGGGTTCGAATCCCACAACCAACAAAAAAACGTGAAAAAATCGCGTTTCAACCTTTTTTTTCCCGAATTTTTCTGATTCGGGCTGTTTTTTTCTGTCATTTTCGAGTTCACGACCTTCGATTTGGTCGATCCAGACCTAAAAATTTCTCATTTTGGGCGAAAATCCCGTGAAATGGCCTCGAACAGCCTCCGCCGTCCGGCGGAGGCACATGAGGCCGAGACTCGGGTGTCACACCCGCCGTGATGGTTGTCCAAGTCCGTAATGAAGTTGTAGTCGTGCTGGAGGGTATGGATGATCGTAATATCGTATTTTGGGCGAAGGGGAGTGCGACCGGGTGGCTGGAGTCGACTTGGGACATCGAACTCGGAAATGTGTGACCTAAAGGATGGCGATCGGCGGAAGGGCGGTTCTTGCTGATAATGAGGCAGGTAGGACCTGATTCCGGTGGTCCAGTGGACTAGCCAGGTGCCAGCAACAAGACTCAGGCTTCAGTAGACCCAGAAAAAAATATTCAGGCGCAGCTTTCACGATCGTATCTTGGGCAAAGGATGGTGAACTGATTCCGCGACCGCTAAATCTTAAGGCCGTTGTGCCACTGTGGGCCTAGCTCTCAAGGTATCTTTCTGGACAACAGGTCGCCTTCTGCTTAGGCCTGGTGATCTCCGCGCAACAAGCTCGTTCACGAGCTATATCGCGCTGTCCTTCAAATGTTACCCGTTCCACTTGGCATCATCAGGGATTATGCAGCTCGGTGGATCTCATGGAAACACTGGAAGTATGCCTGATGAGCGATCGAGCCACAGTCTTGCCGGCAGAACAACGCGTCTGACATCTTGGCCGCTACGGAGGCGAGACTGGGCTGCCTGCCTGACTATGTAGTCACAGACGTCCGATCCTGTGCAGCAAAGAAGAGTCTCCAAAGTGCTGACTGCTTGTATCGGGAGGTGACCGAAGTCAAGCCAGTCAATCGGAGCTTCCATTTGTGTTCATATCGCCGAGCCTTCTGGAGAACATATGGAAGGCTGGAAATGTTGTACCCGAGAAGACACATGTGACTGATCAACACAGTGACGCATGTAGGATACGGTCATGGCTCGTGCAATATCGATCAGTCGCTCCGCCACATCGGTCGCGCAGTACCTGGGCGCAATCACGCAGCGTGATGTGCTAGCCAAGGCCGCTGCTCTGGTCAGTGGCAGCGCATCTAGGCTTATTCTCGGAAGGGGTCTATCTTCATGTTTGGCCGACAGAGCCCGAAAGAACTGGTGCTCAATGCCTGGCAGCCATAGGGAATACACTCTGTGGTACGTTCCATGACATCCTGGGACGTGCGAAGGAAGCGGAACAAGGCAGCTCCTAGTGTGAGCCGAAATTAGTGATTGACATCGTGCAGCATGAACAGTCTTCTGCAGGAACCACGAATCACCCATGCATGCCATATCCACTAGTCATCGCGTGTATATATGCACCACTCCTTCTGCCTTGTCCTCTCCTTCGCAATGACGTTGGTGGACTCGAGCTCCTATCCGAATAATGTTCCAGCTGAATACGGTCATGACAAAGTCAGCGTCTCTCACAACCCCTCTGTAAACTCATGCCTCACCCACCTGAAGTCAGCCTGATGAAGCCCTTGCTCTGCAGTTCTTCCGTGGTGATACCGTCTTTCCCTCTGAAAGTCTCCATGAATCGTGGGCACTCCTCGAGATATACTTCCCTGCCTAGCAGCATCTTCCTGCGACCCCACCATACTGACTTTATTTAAGAACTCTCGCCGACAAGCTTTATCATCTTGCACTGGGCATAAGAAGCGATTGGTCTTTTGGTCTCCTCATATCGATCGAAGATCCAGTAGGCGTCGGGATCCGGATCGAAGAAAAATATGATCTTGCCTTGGCCATCGGGGGCATCAGCGATACCGGCCACCCAGACATGACAATATTGTCCGTGATATTCCAGCGTGCTCATAAGGCCAATGCGCACTTTCCGACTTCCCTTTGGCCAGGAAAGGAAAGCAGACGCGGGAAACTCGAACAGCTGGTCGGCTTCACGAGGGGCCTGGCGGGTTCGTTTGGGCTGGAAATTCGCATCCGCTGTCGTACTCGGTCGGACCTCAGTGACGGTATAAGGGTAGACAGCGATGGACGGAGAGGCGATGAGCAATCGCATGAGTCGTCGATGTATCATGCGGGAAGATGGGTCACGACTGGTCTCTGTGTTCGGTCCTTCCCTCATGGGGAGAGCTCTGGAGTTGGCATACATGGCGGCGACAGGTTTATCGCAGTGAGGAAAAATGAGATCCGAAGCTCTACAGTTCGGTCACACAGGAGGGATCAATCAAGATCAGCTTGTCTATCAGTGGTCAAGCGCCTTCTCACTCTTGAGGGAGCAGATGAGCGAGGAAAAGGGAGAAACAGTGAGAGACACACCACGACTGACAGGTCGTTCCTCATCGCAGGTCTGACTACTTCTCCTTCCCTTGATGGCTCGACCCTTCTGATGCCAGCCGTACGAGCGGCCGAGGTCTCCTTGCTATTGCGGAGCTTCATTGTCGTAGCGATTTACGGTTTTGATAAATTTCGTTCGAAGGGGATCTGTTGAGAGGAAGAGGAAAGCATATAGTGCAATCTGATAGACTTTGTATCCATGTATGCATGTATGCATGTGCCGTGTGGGTGGTGGGATTGATGTTTGGTGCGTGCCCTGACCTTTGGATCCTGTGATGCTTCTTGATGAGTATATTGATTGCCCTTCTTCCTTCGTCTTGACTTATACATGCTTGGTAAAAGTCAGCAAAGCAAGGATTGTCAGGGATTAGCATTCAGCTTCTTGGAAAAGTCCATTTGAGTGACGAGCACCAGGACACAAATCAGTCGGCTATGCAATACATCATCGCATCCCAATTGATATAGATTCAAAGGTATATATCAAAAGAGCAGCTGAAAATCCCCTCGCCTGAGTCCCTCTGTTTGCTTCGGTTTAAAGAGAGTTTGATTTTAAACCTCGGCGACCTCCCTCAATCGTCGGATGGTAGATCGGACGGTGGCGGCTGAGGGGGTTCCGAAGGTGTAGGCACCACCGGCGTACTGCTTGGCGCAACCCTTGCACTTCCAGATACCGACGGCGGTTCGCTTGACGGCGTTCTACGGGGCGACGGGGCGATGAGCGGAGCGATTGATCACGGCGATAGAGAGTTTGATAAGACAGGTCGAACAGCGAAAAGGAACGGAAGAGGGTGCGACGGAGAGATGAAGGCGAAACAGCCTCAAGTCAGCATATATTCCATCGCGCCTGAACCCAAGAACACCTTCCAACCCACCTTGCCACAGTTAGGACAAGTGTATCGAGCGTGCTGGGTGATTTCCATCTTCTTGACGCTATAGAATTCGAGAGAAACGCCACGATCAGCAATCGCATCAAAAGACATCAGTCAATGATATGCGATCTACTCACGTCTTCCTCAAAGAGGCACCGTATCGAGTACCGTACTTTCCGGTAACTCCGACCTTTTTTGTTCGCTTGGTCTGTGTAACATGGCAAAGGGGTTAGTTAGTTGGCGCGTAAGATATGAGATTTACAGATCAGATCAGGCATAGGCGACGGCGATGGCAATGGCAAGACGACCGCGGCACAGCGATGTTTTCGGAAGCAATATAGGACGTGTCGGTATCCGAGCAGTTGCCGCTGAGGAGCGCATTCGTGTACGGCACTTGGGTATGCGTAGGGCACAAGCAAAGCGAGGGAGGACGAGCGCAACGGGGAAGGATGTATCCGTCTTCTGTCACACGAAGATAGGCAGAGAGGTCGAGTTGTCGAAACCCGATAACATTCGTTGATAGTCGATGACTTTCCAGACTCCCAACGCCGACATGTCGACCCTTCCCAAGAATCCCACACAATCCGACAACCACCCCATCCACCCAACTGATGAGCACGCTGCACCAACATTGGGTTCATCCCTCGCTCTTGTTGCAATGAGTCCGGTGGGTCGAGACCAGCTGATGCCAACCGCACGATCTCGTCCGCCAACGGGCACTCCCTCCTTTCCGAGACCATCTGCCTTCTTTTTCCCATCGTCGTGCCAATTCCACCCTCTTGCCCCATACACATATCCATGCTCCCAGCGTATATTACTTGCTCGTCGTCGAGGTCGAAAATCTTCACCTGAATGCCGAGTCGTATCTTCGCCTGGCGTGATCGCTCTTGCCATTGCCATTGCCTTGACGCCTAGTCTGATCTGGTCGCAGGGACAGCACTCACCATTTTGAAGGTATGTTATCTACTTGACGGCTAAAGGAGAAAAAAGGAGAACCGATAACACTCTTTCAACGTCGAATTTGACTTTGGCCTAACGAGGTCGGTCTGCGTGAGCGTAGCCTACGGCTGTGGTCGAAGGATGGAGAGAGTGAGCGAATGCACGAGGCCGGGACAGGCCTGCTAGCTGATACCTGTGGGAGAAGGATTGAGAGGTGAGACCGGGACGGTGAGTGGCAGACGTGAGAGAGCCGGATGGGCAGCGAGCGAGCGGATTGAGTCAAAGACGGAGCCAAGCGAGTGTGGCGGTCAGACCGACTGCTCCCAAAGGCTGTGTCCTATAGGATATAAACCAGATAAACTCCTTAAGTCCGATGGCTTCGTTTTCTACCGAAATCACGATCCCGGCATTCCGCAAACCCTGGATTTAGTCCAAATGAGCCTGATGACTGTGATGAGGCTGATACGTTCAACCGTATCATGTAATTGGCAATTCGATTGTGCTTTAGCGCCAAAGGCAAACTCCACGCCATGCAATAGCGAGTCCGAGATAAAGTTGATTCAGACCACCTCGTCCTCGACGCCGAGCGTCCGAGCGTCACTCACAACGTCTGTAGCACGTTCTTAATCGACTCGCGATTCCTCAGCCGCTCATTACAACTCAACCAGTGATCATCATCATCGCCAACACCCCAAGCAATGTCTGATCAGCCCAACCCCGCTTCCCCTTCCAAGACGACGTCCACATCCGCATCCTTATCGCCCCAATCCG